CGTTGTCAAAATGACGTTTTTATATACGCTGAACACGCCTAGACGATTCTTCAGCTAGGTTATATATATGTGTTTACGATAGAAGACAGGTTACTTTCAGTCAAGTTTTGTAAGTTTCTAGCCTAGCAGTGATAGACTATCACTTAGTTTTAATAGTTGAAAAGGGAAATGTTTGTAGCACATTTTCTTTCTCTCTCTTTCTACTCTACTCAGTTCAAATATGAACGGCTGAATCCTTACCACGACGAATTCTGCTGCACACAAGGTTTGAAGAGCAAGATACTTTTTCTATACACAAAGAGAAAGAGAAAAAGAAAGTTGTGAGACTGTAGTCTACAGTAGTTCCAGAGAAGCTTCTCTGGAACTACTACACATTGAAATCATTTTTTTGAGACGACTTATTGGTTGAATCAGTTTTACTTAGGTGTATCCAAAAGTAGTGCAGTGACATTTAGTACCGTATAGTAAGCTTTAAAAAACTTTCTTTTTATATAGAACCATAGAGAAAAAATGTAATAGTTTTCATTTGTATAAAGTCATGTTCCATCATCAACAGAACAAAGCATGTTAAAAAAGCCGTTTACGAATAGGTAGGATATTACCCAGGTCTAATTTTACGACTGCCGTAAACGACCGTATACAGTCCTATACGACCGCCGTAAATCACCGTTTGCGGTCGTATTTGCATCGTAAACGGCCGTATACAGTGCAAATACGGCGGTAAACGGCCGTAACTGCGCCGTGACCGTTTACGGCTGTTAGCGGTCAGTTTCGAAAAAATTATTTTTGGTTTTCAGCATCTTCTACAGAAGAGAGCTTCAGGACGTCACCCATGCATTGTATCATCTTGAATATCACTTACCACTCACATACATACAATTATAATTGTTTGCCAGGATTGAGATTCGAACATACGTACCTGTGGAATTATAAATCTAGCACATTCTGGTTATACCATATTGCTTGTAAACAAAAGTGTGAATTTGCTATTCATGTTTGCAATAAATACCATGAATTTCCACGCTTGGGCTCCCATGTATGAAAATACCTTACCACAGCTTCCGTCAAACTTCCATATATAGTATAGTAATCATAGTTTGCTGAAGTGGAAATAAATTGTAAGGTGCCGCCGAGAGATTGGCCACCAACTGGCCGCTAACGGCCTGTTTACTGATCGGTTTTTTGCTGTTTTGAGAAAGTTAACGCGCCGTTTTTTGTGCCGTTAACTAGACGTTAACCGTTTTTCTGGGGACCTGGGTAGTTGATCAAAAGAACACTTTGATACCATTCTGATCACATAAAGAACAGTAGTTCATATCGGAAAACTTATAAGAATACATTTTGCGACGGGATTCCAAGGAACACAGGTCACAGGAAATTCCCCGTATACGGCAGTCGTAAATCGCCGTATTTCGTCGTAATACGACCGCCGTATACGACTGATATATATCGCTGTACGTGGCCGTACACGGTCGTTTACGACCGTGTCTATTGGACCTGGGTAGTAGTCGGACGTAGAAAATAAGTAGTAGATAATTATATTACTGTCTATCCCAAAAAAGAATGGACTCTGCTATCCTTTCAATAACTTTTGATAGCAAGCAGCTAGAGAGATCGGATTTTCGGAACTCGAAAGCGGAGACTTTGAGGCTTGATCCCACAAGTAAACATAAGAACGAGTTTGAGACATCAGAATTGAGGGGAAAATTGCTTTTCTGGTAAAAAAATAAATCATTGAGTTATTTGTCTGGAATATAGATAAGATTATTGTTTCATCCATTAGTATCCACAGACTTTTCCGTCTTGCTGTCTTCTTCCGGAAACAGAAGTATAAATTTAGCTTTTTCCAAGGAGATAGTTAACACGGCAAGAAAAAAGGTGCAAGAGTTGACGTTTTTTTCGGCAGATCTGGATATGCTTGTTTACTGCTGGATAATTTTTCATGAACAAATTTTTCGTATGCTTTTGGTCATCTGGAAAAACAAAATTTGTAGCGATTTCTAAGTAATATTTGACTCGGTTTTGACCGCACTATAGTTTGGAAGCACACCTGACCTGCTGGGAAGATCCACTATCGCAAGAAATCAGTGGTTTCTGAGATAAGATAGTGCAGCGAAACGATTCATTTCTGCCGTATGCACTTCAGGGTACCTTCCCCTCTTTTTTCGACCCTCTTGAAAACCGGTGAAGCTGATGTCGGATCGAGGCGAAAGTTATATCGGAGATAGGACATTGAAAAAGAAAATCGATGTATTTTTGCCCCAAATTTTTTAACGTGCGTTTCTATGGGTTTTCTAGAAAAGTTCAGTTTTTATCGGGTGACATTACGACCCCTCGAAAAAATGGTCCGATCAAGCTCAAAATTTACTACACATACTTTAGACCCTATCTCAGAAAGTAAATTTTTCTTTTCAAAAAATAGGCTTTCCTTCTCGAGATATTCGAAAAATAGTAAAAATCCTGTATAAAAAGCCAGCCTTTATTTTCAAAATCTTCTCACGTCGAAAGTTGAAATTGGAAATGCTTAAGAAAAATTTACATCCTGAGATAAGGTCTAAAGTATTGATTTCTGTTTGATTGGAAGGACATAATGAATTGAATCAAGTTAAATACTCTTCCGTATTAAAGATCTTTCTTTATTCGAAAAAATGTGACGTTTCGGTGTCGACTAGCACCTTCATCAGACAATAGAATGCATACACTCACACTCTCTTATATACACACGCACACACTCCTTCTCGACAGTTCTTCTTCTTTTTCGTTCGTACATATTGTTTCTCGTTCTTTCGCTTATGCTCTATGATAGCGGGACGGCAAGACGGTGATACTAGAGGAGAGAGATCATTAATCTTCTTCTTCTTCTGCCGTCCCACTATCATATGTAGGAGAAACGAAAGTAGGTTTTCACCAACGAATGATCCAACATTAAAAGTTAATCGAACAACATGACGATAACTCAAAGTCCGAAATGATCCAACATCACCATCAAAAAGGGTGGCAATGCATGTTTGATACAAAAAAAGCGTTCATTATCGAAGATGAAATTGACAGGCGGAAAAAGAGAATCAAAGAGTCGATATACTCAACTGTTTCTCAATCAATTAACAGACGAGATGAAATTGACAAATTATGGACGCCATTGCTTTATGAAGTAGAACCATCGATAAAAAGCATCATATCAGGTCGCGAAAGAAATTTCAGCGACAAACGATCGGTTCTAAGGCAGAACGGTGATAGTGGGACGAGAGAAGAAGAAGAAGATTAATCATCTCTCTCCTCCAGTATCACCGTCTTGCCGTCCCGCTATCATAGAGCATAAGCGAAAGAACGAGAAACAATATGTGCGAACGAAAAAGAAGAAGAACTGTCGAGAAGGAGTGTGTGAGTGTATGCATCCTATTGTCTGATGAAGGTGCTAGTCGACACCGAAACGTCACATTTTTTCGAATAAAGAAAGATCTTTAATACGGACGAGTATTTAACTTGATTCAAAGGGCTTAAAGTATCTGAGGTAACAGTTTGAGCTTGATCGGGCCACTTTTTCGAGGCGTCGTAGTGTGACCCGATTGAAGGGACTATCAAAAAAACGTAGAGTGTGAAAAACACATATTCCACATAGGGTTCTGTTTTACCGGGCATTTGCGGTGATCGTATATCTCCACGAAAACTCATCGGAATATATCATTACCACGCGTTTTTCTCCAAGATAACGTCGAACCTTTTTAACGCGTTGAAAACGTTTGTTGTTCCAACGCATTTAAACTCCTTTATTTTTCGAAAAAAACATTTAAAACTGCCTACGACGCGTTGAAAAAACACGAAAAACGGTTTCAACGCGTCAAAAATCACGATTTTATATGCAAAAGTCATAAAAATAAATGCGTTGGAATTACAAACGTTTTTAACGTGTTAAAAGAGTTTGACGTTGTCTAAGGGAAACGAGTGGTAATGATCAATTTGTCAATTGACGTTTAAATGCGTCCAAAACTTTTTGCAAATTTCCTGCTGTGTTATCACTTAACGCTTCTACTTGGGTGAATTTTTGTAAACTCATTGCTGTCGACACTTTTTTTAGTATACTTTTTTGTGGACGTTTTCTAGTAGTCGCTTTTTTCGATGCTTTTTTTCTTGCCGTGAATATCTTGTATTTCTCGCAGACAACATCTCCGGATCTTTTTTATTATGAAATCTCCGTCGTGACCACTTCGTTGTAGGTCTGCGTTTCTCTTCGTATGTCTCTCGTTTGGTACGATATGAAGCCATAATTAGTTTCCGAACAAAAATGAGAGAAAAATAGATGTGGTATGTTGGATAATTCAAAGTGTTTTCTAAAAACTGGAGTTAAACGAGATGTTTTTTTGATAGTTTATGTTGGACATTACGTTGTTTCAGAAGAAAAGATTGAAGAAAAAATGTATTAGTTACAGTGGACACACTTACCGCCGAGCTACCGAGACACGATCTAATCGTATTAGTACTTCGGGTTTTTGTATGATCAATCCATAGTGAAAACATATGCGATCAAAAGCCCGAAACTGGTGTGCTGTGGCTTTACATAACCTCAAAATGGCGGACTACATGTTGTCGATCATCCTTAGTCTCGTGGCAATGTTTTTTCATGAAAACATTTGAAAAATCGAATTGAAAACTAAAATTACTAAGCTGAGAAAGTCGTAGCTATTTTCGTCTGATGTCGAAAAATTCATTTCTCGTTCAGCTTTATCTAAATAATTTGAAAACTTAAAGAAATTCCTTGTTTTGTATATCGTCTTCGGCTTTTTACATTTTCTGCGTAGTCGAATGTGACGTAAAGCGAACGTAAATAAGTGGATTTTTATTCCTTGTGATTTGACGTGTTAATTCAGGGTCAACATAGCTTTACTTTTTATTTTTCACAGAGAGTAGAATAACTGATAAGAAAAAAAATGTGAAGGTAAAATGTGCTTCATTTTTTTTCTTTTCATCGTTTTTGATAACAAACTATAACAAGACACATCAAAATGTCCTCTTCATCTGGTGAATCTGGTGATCGCCCACAACGAAAATCAAGTTTTGGTATAACGATTCATCATGATGGTCAAAATGATCAAAACAGTTTAATTCCATCGGTATCTCATTTAGGACCAGGTGGTCCAGGTTACACGTCAACAGCGGACGATGTTAAAAATAAACGATTAGCTGATGACGGTCAACAACATGTATCAGGCAAAATTAGCGAAGATGATATTAAAAATAGAAAACCATAAACAACATGTATTTAATCAAGCGATTAGATGACAGATGTTTTGTGACTTTTTTGACTTTTTTTTAAATTAAATTGCTTAATAAAATGATAATAAGGAAGTCGGGTTTTCTTGCCAGAAAAGTTTGATGGGCTCACCATAAAAAGTTTCCCTCAATCCTCTGTAAAATGTTCGTGGATTTTGATGTTGATTTTGTTGGTAAAAGCAAAATTTCACGATGTTCTATAGATAGTACTCGAACTCGATTACATATATTCCACATGTGATTCTTGATCTTCCTTCCAGATCGTGCGATGGCTCGGAAATTCTAATTTTGTCTGAAAACAAAGGAAAAGAGCTTCTTGCTTGCTTTATTCTGGGTAAGTAACTCACTGAGATAAACTTTAACTTCTTGTACAGATATTCTGAACAAGGGGGAGTACGTGTGCTTAACAACAAAATGTTTGAAGGAATAACTGTGTTATAGTCACAGTGGGCACACAGTAGACGGAAATTAGGGAAAAAATTAAAGTTGCTCGTTTCTCAAAGATAAATAGTGCAAAATGTAGCCCTTTCAATTCTCTATCGAATGGTGTATGAATTTTTATTGTGATTTTCACTTCTTCATGGAGAAATCAGGCCACAAAGGAAGGTCCCAAAACATCATACGTATGCACAAAACGCCGTTTTCTTCTTTATACACCTACGTTTAATGATTTCAAAGCACATATTCGGAATCAGTATGTTTTCAGCTATCTATTGATATCAAAATATATATATACTTTACTTTCAAATTCAATGTGTAACAACTGTTCAATACTTCATCGTTCACTCGTACATGAGACCACCTCAGTATAGTCGCATCGCCCGAGAACCCCGGACTCCAAAAGCACATCTAATTACATCAAAACATTCCTCAGTCAATACTCTATCTGTGGCAGACTCACCTAATCTCACCTATTGTTCTAAGTACAGATACGGATTTTCAAAAAATTCATAGGGTTTTCATGGTATTTTGAAGTTTTCTCCCTCAAAAAAGCACTTTTTCTTGAAAGTAAGAACATATTCGGAATCAGCGTGAAAAACTGCATCGAATGGCGTATAACTCATCGAGTTTCGATTGCTTGACTTTGAATTCTAGAAATTTCTTTAGTTTTTGAGATTCACACAAACAATTTCGTGCTGAAAATTTGAATTTCAAGATAAAGTAACCTGAACGACTCGAAACATGTTTCTTATAGATTTTCGACAATGCCCTTTCTAGTGGCATCGTTTTTAAATATCGAGAAAGTTTTCGGAAGGGTTTTCCAGAGACCAGAGCTCTGGAAAACTCCTTAGAAAACCTTTTCAAAACCCACCGCTCATGCCATTAGAAAGAGGATCATGAAAAACCTATAAAAAAATGGTTCATGAAATTTTAGTTCACTCATAAAGCTAAAGTCCGCCTGCTCTAGCAAAAAATGCCCACTGTGAGTCAGTATCAGTAATATAACATACATTAACAAAATGATCATTCAGTATATTAGATTTTTCGATGTCATCAGTGCAAACCACTCTGTAGAATCTTTCAATACAGTTTAGAATGAGAACGTCTAAAGAAAAATTTAACAAACTTCCACCATGATTTGTTTGCAACATTCATTGTTCATGTTTGCTCTAAATATTTTTCTTTCCCGATCAGGGGAAAGTAAAATGAATCACGGCTGATTATTAAAAAACATTTTACTGTTTTTGTTTACTGTGATTAAAGGAAATAAAGGTCTTTAGAACGTCATTAACGCTTGCTACAAAAACTATATACAATAAATATTTAAATGCTTCGAAACAACTTGTGAACATCTGTAATGATAATCAGCGGGTCCGAGACTCTCCTGATCTCCTTTTCCTAATTCTCTAGTCCCACTGAGGCTCACGCTGGGCGGAAGCAGATTTCCTAGAAGCCCGAAGGTTGGTATCTGATATCTGCGGCTTGTTCATGTAACGTGACACTTCGCTGATTATTTTTTTCAAAAGTAAACAAAACCGTTTATGCCAGATAATAGAGTATAGTCGAAAGTGTCAGAAAATGAATTTTCTTCTCAAGTGAGTCCTGTGAGCCGTCATATAGTGCGCAGTAAGTAGAACGAACCATCTTGTTCGTCACATCTGTTGTGCTTCTGCTTTCAAATTGATAGTGCGACTCACTGTTTTACTCCGACAAGAGATAAGAAATGGTGTCTAAACTATCAAGTACGGCCTTTCTTTTGACGCTAGAATGAAGCCTGTACGTTTCTTCCTCACTGAGATATAGGCAAAACAATACTTGATAATTTCGCCGGTCACAGGGCTACCAAAAGAGGTTTGTTTTTAAATTTTAGTAAACGACATTCACACTTTCATTTTACAAAATAGTGGACTATAGCCAAATTCTCACGACAATTCTAATGCACTACTTTTTTTCTCAAAAACTTGCATCTGGAAACAGATACTGGTAACGCTGTGACAAAAACATGATTGTTGGTGGTTTTTCTTGTTTGTCATTGACTGTTTGTTTCGATAGTAAAAACAAGGGAAAACGCTCACATAGACTTTAAACTCGCTTTGAGTTCTTCCCTTGCTCAAAATAGTGATAGAGGTCTCTAGTAGCTTGTGGCTTTGTTGCTTTTCGATTTCTTTTCGCTGTAACTAAATCGAAACTCGAAAATTTATACATATTCGCATTCGTCTTGAAATTCTGCGCCGAATGGTGTCTTATTTGTGTAAGTTGAGAAGATATCTATCTCGAGGCCTAAAAAGTCTATTCAGTCGAATTCTAACTGATTTGAAGTGAGAATACGCAAGAGAAAAAAAGTGTGTCACAGCGTTCTAAATTCGCAGGAATTTGCACTTTAATAAGGAGTAGTTAGAATTTAGGGCACGGTGTTACCGGTTCAAAAACGTTTTCTGGAAGCTCGAGTCTTTAACCAAAAATCTTCGTTTTTCCCACCATCTGGTGGAAATCACGAGAAGGGATGAATTGTAAGTAATCAATCATGTTGAACCTTGTGACAACATCTGCATTTAGAGAAAAACGTAAAAATCTCGAGACTCAGTGTTATATACTGAACAGAATTATACAACTGAAAACACGAAAACATCGGTGATTCTGACCTAAATTTTGACAAAGTTTCCCCAAAAATTTCATAAATAAATATTCATTTCTAACACTTTGTAGAATCCTGCTTGGTATATAACACCGAGTCTCCCGTAAGATTTCCAAGTGATTTGGAACGGTTTTGAATGAGATATGAATTTGTTGTTCTTTTGGTAAAAAGTACCGAAAACCATATTTTCCGTATTTTTGGGCTGCCTTTAGTAATAATCATCTAACTAATTGGATGCAAATACCCTCTTAAAAACACAGTCAGTCATATTTAAAATCTAACTGAACACACAAGAAACAGATTGAAAGAGTGATGTTGCCAGTAGACCAGAAAACAAAAGTTATTTCATTACTTCCATACTCAACATGTACGAAAAGTCTCAAAATTGTAGATTCTGCCCTCTTGGAAAGTGACCGAGTTTGTACATCTGTAACCTAGTAACAATAATTAAGCCAGACTGAAACACTTCACCATGACTACTACTATATATTGAATACTCCAGAATGACTAATAAACTATTTACGAATCACTTAATCATGCTGTTGAGCTAGTTCCTAGAGAATTTGGCCAAACCAAACACAGACAGCAGCGATTCATTTTGCATAGTCAATGACCATTGTAGCCTATGTACCTTTCCTGAATAAATTCTTTCGGTTTATCTAAGGTACTACCATATCGAATTGCGTCACCATCAATTGCTACGTAAACATCTTTGTCCGTTGCATATGGATACACCATTCTTGCCACTTTCGATTTTGTATCATCAAAAGGGGCCAACAGAACCAGTTGTTCTGCTTGTGCAGATGATATCATTCTAGCAGTGGCAAGTCATGTTTTAATAGCATACAGAATGACCCACCTTTTTTTCAATCCGATAATCAGTGTATTGGAACTCAGTGCATCCATTTTAAACTCTGTGAATACGTATGTAATACCAGTTTTGCGTTGTAAAGACCTATAGTTTCTTTTTATAATAATTATTTTCTCATCTTATGGTTTTTTACTGTTTTCTGAGTTAAACAGTTGAAAAGCCATAAGATGAGAAAATTAAATATTATTGACAGAAAATAAAGAAGCTATATACTTGATACAATAAAAGAACATCAGTATAGATCGGTAGCACAGTGGTTTACAGCAGAAAAAGTGAATTTTTTTGTCGTCGATTCGAATCGGACACGGATCTTTTGGACTTTTTTTCTGGATTCTTTTCTATCAAAGTTGGAAGCATCCATTTAAAATAAATATGCCGTATCCCTCAATCGATCATGGGCAACCAGAATCCGCAGTTTTTGCTTTGGCATCTCCCTGAGAAAAAAAGCACCAAATTTTGATATTTGAGACGTAGAGCAAATTCACATCCAAACGTCTTGAAAAAATGAATGTTAGCTAAAGCTGGTGACGAAACACCCGTTCTTGTGCAGATCTCTGACACAAGTCAGTCCCTTTTCATGGAAGACGAAGGAGCGAGCTAGACCTTCTGTAGAATGAGTCCATTCTCAAGATTTTACTTTCAGACACACTGCATTAAAATCTGCCATAGACTTACTATGGCTGTACAAGCTTCTACTGCTCAAAAAAATGTTTGCACAATTTCATTCGCGAATAACTTATTTGTCACCATCTTTTCTTCCATGTTGCGTCTTCTTTTCTTTCTTCCACACGCCATTCTATACATTAATTTCTTTTATGAACGAGTTGAATCCGGACCTTTTTGTATCGGTGCAAATATAGTTTTCAACGTTGATGGTTTTCTGAATGCAAAATTCATCTGAACATTTGATATTAATCTTTTGCATAACCTTCGTACATGTTCAGTAAATATTAGAGATTCTTTTCCGAAACAACTACTATCCATTTCAATGAACAATGCACCCGATTGTAACTTGAATAGTTCCGGAACCAAACCAGCTAGAGAGCTGTGGTTTTCGTTGCCTCTATATATATGGTCGGAAAAGTCGATAAAGGGGCCAAAAATTAATTACAATATTTTTTTCCTCATGCATTTTGCCGTGGAGAAAAAAAGTGTTTTGAAGATAACCTTGCCAACGATTATTCAATAAGGGTAGATTTTTTGAGGAAGGTTTTGGAGCAAAGTTTGTTGCAAGTAGTCATGCCCGTAATCCAACGTCGAGCGATTTCAAATTTTTTGCTTTATTTGTTTTAAAATTTAAAAATTGAAAAACTTAATTAAATTAATTCTTAAATTTTTAAATTTTAAAAGAAATAAAGCAAAAAATTTGAAATCGCTCGACGTTGGATCACGGGCATGACTACTTATCACAAACTTTGTTCCAAAACCTTTTTTCAAAAATCTAATCCTATTGAATTATAATTGGCAAGGCTTGGTCTACTTTAGATGACAAAGGGTTATTTCATCGTATCGATTTTCACTCAGTTCTTGAGTTTTGTTTTGAAAACTAACATTGTCAGGAGATCCAGCGTGGTCGGAGAGCGAAGGATAGAGATACTGCAAGGCTTCGGGTAAAACGTTCGAAGCTCCCAGACTAAGCAAAATGAAACTTCTAGTTAGATCTTATTTTGTAGAGAACACTTTGAACTATCTATCTATGAAAAAAAATCGATAGATTACTATGTAAAATTCCTAACTTAGACACTAGTTTTCCAGGCATCTCGGTTTCGTGACACTTGTTCAACGTTGTAGATGAGATATTGCTTCTATAATTCTATATTCTACATAAGTTCTAACCACCTACAATAATATATCTAAATTTTGAGAACTTTCACATTTTAGCCCTAGTATCGCACTGCCCTGCAAAGGTTTTTTATCTTTATTATACATCTTCACGCCATATCCCTTTGTTTACTACATTTACTTTCGATTTCTCTAGACGTAATATGTTTAGTTACTATATTTGCCTGCCATTTATCAAATTTCCATAAAATTCAAAAAATGTATGCTATGATATTTAGTACAGGAATTAACACCCCATTTCTTTTTTCGATAATCGTCTTCTTCCACTTTGTTGACGAACGTAACAAACATGTTTTATTTCAAAATTTGATGTTTTTTTTGTAGACAGAATGTTAAACAGAATTTTTGAAACTTGGATATTCGCAATATGCGCGACGAATTACGTTGTACGACGCAAAGATCTTATCGGAACACCCACGTTTTGTGGACCCATGGGCTCCGTTGTCGGTTTCACGGTATCTTATACTGTATTCACCTGTAGACATCAGCGATGCCGCTTTTCGAGGTTCTCTTTTATATCATTTTTCCTTGCTTTTATTTTTCTTTCTTTCTATGTACACTATAGAGTGATATAAAGTAACTGAAGAAAATAACAAATTTTGTCGTTTTATCCAAAAGAAAGATAGTACTCACTATGAAATTAGTGTATATTCTGTCAACTTCCAAGATTAAAAAGTTAAGAAATTTGAAGGTACTCTCCTCCAGTTTTTCTGACAGTTCCAAGTACAACTTGTACTCTATGCCAAGTTATTTTTTTAAAAAAAGGTACCGCTTGGTTTTTCAGTTATAAGGCTACCAATATCGCAGATGCCCGTATGAAAAAGTAGTGTTCGATGCAAATTAAAAAGCCAACTGAATTTTTGACGAACTTTCTGAACTACCATGACTTTCCGGCTTTTTCTTCGGACCATGGTGCTGAGAGACAATGTATGTAAAACAGAAATGAAAATAAAATTAAAAGGCTGCTATTATCCATAGTCAGTGTCTTCTTGCAACAGAACTATTAATAATCAATGAGAGTATTAAATGATAAACAATAACTACTCAAAAACTACTCAAATTTTGATATGATAGGAGTTTATCTATCCTAGACACTTGATTGGGCAACACATGTTAGTTAAAGATTAAAAAAAATGCGACTATACTCTGCATCTTATGTGACATCTGTTGAGCACCATTGTAAATCTTATGTCATGTCTATACCGTTTACTCTTCCAATAAGAAAATTTATTCTAAAACAACTTTCAACGATACTATCGCCTCATATAGAAAAATATAATGTTTACTGGATGAAATATTGATAAATCAGTATCTAAGAAAACGGGTAAATTTATATTGTTTTCAATCATAGTAAGTATATTTTGAGTCATAACACCTTTCTTCCTGAAAGAAACTGATAATCATAAACAGTTGAATTCAAGTAGAGAAAATGTTAAACATATTTTTAATAACATGGTTCAATATATTGCCAGGGTTGTGCCATGCTATAACTAATAACATAACCAGCAGCTGGACTGAAACCTTGTGAATAATTAGTAGATTCATAGTTACGATTATTGAAACTAACCAACGTACCTCCGATGCTGTACGTTGCTGAATTATTCCATGCGGTAGCACATGGAGCTGGAATTTCTCTTGTACCATTGCACGGGCTTAGTAATAGCCATTCTTTGCCTGAGTTTTGTACACCGTTATTCGTCGAAGGATTTTTATTAATATTGTAAAATATGGCCATATAGTTTATATTACCGTAGCTAACGTTATCATTAGCATTGTAAACAGCATTGGGGTCCCAAGCAACATAGCATGTCCCAGATGCAGTTAACGTTGCTTGAAGTTAAGTAAATAGAATATATAAGAAATGGACGTAAGGACATCTGGACATAGAAAATTTATATTTACTAAGCGGATTTAGTGTCCTAATTAATCGTACTGATGTGATAGGAACTAAATCAATGAATAGGGAGGGTATCTTGGACCGAAAACCTTTGCTGATACCCTTGTTGTTAGTAGTAAAAAATCGAAAAGCTCACAACCGCAAATGTTCATCTTTTTTTCCTTCGGTTGGTCAAACACTTCACCGCATTTATTGAGGTAGCCTTCAGAGAGCTGTTCTGCTTAATGAAATCGATATGGTTAAGTTATAAATAGTATCGGTTGCTTACTTTCTGGTTGACATTGTGGTTATTGAATAAAATAAAATGTCGAATTTACATTCGATTGCATGGAACAAGTAGAAGAATAGTTGAGGAATAATAAACATGAATTATTGTTCTTAAAACAGTTCAAGCCCATATACGATGATGAAGAATTAAATGCATAACAAATACAGTTTTGACATGATCCATTATGCATGTTTGTAATATTGCCTGCTATTAAACTACTATTAGTGATGGATCCCAGTCTCAAACAATGGACTGGAATCATAGTCATCCATAAAATACATAATATAGTAGAACACACTTTTTGCACCATCAGACTACAAAGAATATGCTAAAAAGTAAAGCACAAGAATCTTTGATTTATCAAAACATTAAGGAAATGGAATTCTTTTTTCTTTATTTTAAGTCAAAAATAAAATTGTAAAAGTATTATTGAATATTTAATGCACGCAGAATTTATTATGCAAATCTATAATGATAACTATCAAAAAAAAAATAATCTTTGTAGAAAATCAGCTTGTCTCTACTACATACAAAAACGCAATTGTGAACGTTTATAGTTCGAAGAATATTTCTAACTTTGCAGGACTCTATGCATCTTTCTAAGGACCTTTTTTGTTTAGAAACACCGTGTACCATATATCAATCGATTTCAATTGTAGAATAGATGATGAACATCAAGTTGTTTTTGAACTAAAATGTGCATATAGCATTAATCACCCATATGGACATTTCTAATATATTTATCGCGATAAGTGCTTGTTTTATCAAGGCCATCACGGACTTTTTGCAGTTTCGGCGGTAAGTACTTTATTTCGATAAAGTAGTTCATTGTCACGATCAAAACTATTCATCGATAAATCGTGGTAACAACGTTATGGCAATTAAAAAGGTTACTTTGTTCGATAAATATTTATCGCCGTAGGTACAGAAACTCCATGACCGCCTCCATAAAACAAACACTTATGGCGATAAATGTATTGTAAATGTGCGTGAGCACTCTCTTCCTTGAATATATAAAAGAAAAACATTTTAAATGTTTTATGAATAAAACAAGAAAAGAACAGATTTTATATTTTCATCAAAAGTTCATCTCATCATGAGAGTGCTCACTTGAAAATTATTCCATACTGTACCAACCTTGAACAAAAAATGGAAATGAGCCCTCTCTAGTTAATGTAATTATAATTTACGACGTTGGTACAATATGAAATAAGCTTAGACTGTGCACTCTCTTCCTTGAATATGTAAAAGGTGAACATTTGATGAAAATATAAATTTCTTATTTTATTCTTTAAATAGAAAATAAAAAAATTTCTCTTATAAGGAAGTTTAAATAGTATGAGAGTAGAATAAACTGTAAAAGAAAAGTATATGTTTTTCTGATGGGTTGATAAAAGAATAATCTTTTGAAACACAGCGGTTAATCGTCTTTGAAAAAGTAATCAAATCAATTAGAAGAAAAGCCGAAGTTGGTTTAAGCTTTAATCTTGAACCATAACGAAATTGAGAATATAAATTCCCATTATATCATTCTGAAGTTTAAACTATCAAAACACAAAATCAATCCTTGCACGAAGCTAAGATCAAACATACGAACTTGATCTTTGCAGACGAACTGCAAAAATCAACTTCGCTGTTTTTTCCTATATTCTGTACAATGATTGAAGTTGTGCAATGACTCGCTGTTATCCTTCAATGTATATTTTTTATTGTATTTTTGTGTTTTGTTTTTGGTTTAAGCTTTAATTTTGAACCAGAACGAAATCGAGAACATAAATTCCCATTATATCATTCGAAGTTTCTGTATACATCTACGTAAAAATTATTATAAAATGAAATATTGTATAACAGCATAATACAGAAATAGTTGCGGAATAGAGACCGATCGGAATATATTTTAAAACGATCCCTTAATTGTCGGAGAAATAAGACAAATTGTACTAATTAAAGAAGCTGCTCGAGGTATAAACGAGCTATTCAGCATATAAAGGATTGTAAACTAAATACTACTCAATGCACTATATGTAATAAATTGATTATTCTATGTTGATATCATGCAAAAAGGTGTCACGAAAGAAATTGTCATGTAATGACAAAGAAAATACTCTCTTTTTTTTTTTGTTCTTGAGTTAACAAGATGTTACAACTAATTCTAATTCTAAATTAAGTCTGTCAACAAATTCAAAAGAATCTTTTAAATATGAAATATTCTTTTGAATTTGTTGATAAGTAATGTGATTAATGGTGTAAAATTAGTTAAATTAACACAAAAAAATCTGGCTATTAATAAACATGTGAAAAAAGTGCTTATTAATGCTCCTTATTATGGAATATGTACGTTGACTTTAAATAAAAAACTCCGGGCTATTCTCAAACACCCGTTAAAATAGGCAATTTTTGAAGACAAGTCTGATAACCGATTGTCGCATATATTCAGCTCAACATTTAGATAGAAAAATAAAAATTCAAAAAGAGTGGTATATAGGTATGACTGCTATGATTGTGATGGAATGTATATTAGTCAGACTAGTCGAGGAATCTGTAAACGAGAAGGTGGACATAATAAAACCTTAGTTGACAAGGCTTGTCGAGAATTGCTCAACATTCATTTCAGCAGGGACATAATAATAATTGGAACTCAAAAGTGTTGACGATTGAATCTAATACAACGAACGAATAATAAAAGAGAGTTTATTAATGGACTTGTTTCGTGTAAAAAAAGGAAAAGATGTAACGTACGATGCAAAAATAACTGGACAAATGTTCCTCCATTTTTCTTATGGTAGAGCACGTTCCGAGAATATCAAAAATAGTTATTTTGAATGTATACTTCGGGAGCTTTCTAATTATGCGTTCAGAAATATTCTGTCGCCTTTACACAGTGGGCATCCAGGTGGAAATTAGGTGAAAAATCGAAGTTGCTCCTAATTCAAATACAAATAGTGGAAAATGTAGGCCTTTCAAAAGGCTATCGAATGGTATATAAATGTATATTTTGAAAATGGTTCCTACGACGAGAAATCACGGTACACAAAACCGATTACGGATATCGTTACTACATACGAAATAAAGATTCTTTGCTTACTCAATTATGGTACGCGATTTCAAAGCAGATATTCAGAACTAGCACGTCTTCAAAATTTCGCATATTTTCCACGGAGGTTTTACGGGTTTTTCAAAATCCCAAGGGGTTTTTGCGTATTTCACATTTTTCTCTCTCATCAAAGCACTTTTTCCTACAAATAATGCCATATTCGGAATCACCGTGAAAAACTGCATCGAATGGTGTATAGCTTTTTAATTTTTCTGCAGAAATATTTTCGATCAAACTGAGTTATAGACTTGAAAGCTTGTCAGCAGCAAATTTTGCTTAGAAATTTGGATATTTACTTTAGCAATAGTACACAAGTCTATAAACACATTTTTTATAGGTTTTCGAATATGATCTTGCGAATAGTGAGGTTCTCGAAATGCAAAAATATTTTTTAAGGGTTTTACAGAGATCCGGTTTTTAGAAAACCCATAAGGAATTACTTTTGAGTACTGAAAATCTCATCATTAGAAAGAGCATATTCGAAAACCTATAGAAGAACGTGTTTATAGGCTTTCATACCACTCCTACAGCATATGTCCACCTGCTCTATAGAAAAATGCCCATTGTGCTTTAGCCTTCTGGCAGTGAGTGAGCGAATCTTTGTTATTACTGTAAAGGAAAAATGTGTGACCAGACTAGGATTCGAAGCCAGGATCTTGACATTCCGTGTCTGTGCTCTAACCACTGAGCTACCTGGTCGACATCTCTAACCGTCACAATTACCAAAAATTTAGGCTGTAACGATGAAAGTTTTGGATATTTTTTGATAAATAACCACTTCAAATTGAAAGATTAAACTTTGGATTACTTACCAGTTTATACAGTAGAATTTTCTCTGCTAATTATAAGTTCGTATTTTTGCATTACAAAAACTAGTCAAACTTTTAATTTGACCAAAAGCCTGCTTTGTGAAAACTTGTGTTTTTCCCGAAATCCTTTTTGGGTAAAAAATGATGTTCATAAAAACGCGAATAATTTCTGACCGTTATGCTGTGTATCTTGTTTTAACATCTTATTGTGTAGGGAATTGTCTGTTCTATAGTCTTATCCGTCAAAACGTTTTAGTAATGTACTACAAAAAGTTTATATAAGGAATACAAGTACTGAGCGGGCTGCACGATGGGGTAAAAGGAGGTCACAACACTTTCCTGCTATGGAAAAAAATATTTTCCATCTGGCCGGGGGAACATTTTTTATTGTGTTCTGTTGCAGAAAGCAAGGGCAAAAAAGGTTATCCACTAGAGACCTTTCCTGCTTTTTGATTTTGTCAAACCCATGACATACATTGGTCGAAAAAGACTAGATTTTCTTTTTTTACAAACTTAATTTTTAGGGCATAGCAAAGATTCGTTCATTCTGAGGAGACTAAAAGCGATAGAAAAGTTTTGAACACACAGTTAGAAAGCTCTTAATCTTAACAGGTTTTTTTCATTTTTCCGAAATGCATTTTATTGCAAGTAAAATGATGAGACATTTTGTCCAGTTACTTTTCCACCGTAGGTTACGCTCTTACAAAAGCTTTCAGTTAAACATTTTTTGACAATGATTCATCATTCTTCGGTAGAAATAGAAAAGAAAAATAAACCGTGGTAAGTGTATGAAGAGATATTTAAACTTAAACAATAAAAAATTAATCGTAATAAACAGTAGGATATCGCGAAATTCATGCATATCGCGATACATCCCAATAAAAAGGCATTACCATCTATCTAACTACTTCTTTTATTTGGATATTTCTACACTTTAACGCGATACGAATCAATATCGCGATGTTGGTTGATAAATATTATCGTGGCCGAACGAAACATTGTTTTGCATTCCGATAAATCATAGAGATAACGGGGTAATAACTTACATCGCAATCTATCTGATAGATCGCGACGTAGACTTAATCGCGCTAAACAATGAAGGTATCATGAT